CCTGTCAAACAAGTCCCCTGAACCATACTTTCCAACAAATCACCAGACCTCAGCTCTTCCTGCACAGAAAGTTGCTCAGCTCCCTGCCCCCATCACCCCCGTGGAGGCAGCCTGTGTGGTGATGAGAAACACCTGGGAGGGTTGGAAATGCTGCTGGGCAGGCTCTGAGTTCCGCAGCCTCCCCTCTGGGGATTGAGAAGTGTCTGCTCTCAGAAGGCAGGTGGGGTCTGGCACGCCCGGGGACTGCCCCTCCACCCTCCATCTCTGGCAGCACCTCTCCCTGCACTCCTCCCACCTCTTAGCACCACAGTCCCAAAGGCTGGGACTTTGTTAAACTTCCTGGGGGAAGGCCAGAGGATGGACAGGCCTCCGCGGAAGGTGGATGAGTAGTAGCTCGCTCAAAGCTGCTCCATGGACCTGCGTTCCAAAAGGGTATCCCACCCAGCCTGGCCCTCCCCTGCCCTGGCTTCCTAAGCCCTGCACCCTGTCCCCTGATATGTTCTTCCCCACCCTGCCCACCCACCGATGTGCAGGCCTGTACGCATGTGCTAAACACACACACACACACACACACACTCAATCAGGACCAGTTTCTAACCCTGTGTGCTCCTCAGGGCCCCAGGCTGAACACCCAGCCCCTCTAGAAACCTGTGACTCGGCTCTCTTCTTTCCTCCCCAACCTGCTTGCAGTATTCCTACGAAGGGATGGAGATCAACAACCTGCCCGTGGAGCTGACGGTTGTGTGGAACGGACACTTCAACATCGACAACCCTGCTCAGAACCGAGGTGTGCACGGTGGCCCGGGTGGCGGGTGAAGGGGAGAGCTACTCTGCACTCGTGGGCAGGTGTCATTTGTCCCCCATCCTCTGGCCTGAGCCTGCCCTCCACAGCCTCTCAACCATCCCCACTGCTCTATGACTTGTTGGGCATGTGCCCAGTGTGGGCAGGTGGCCCCTGGGAGAGGAGGAGTGAGCAGGGCTGGCTGGAGGGAAATTGGCCTTCCCAGTCCAGAACCATCACCAAAGGGAGGGGCTGCACTCCTTGCCACACACCCCAACCCTCCCAGCCCGACCCCAGCACACTCTGGCCCTTTGCCTGCAGTTCACCTCTATAAGTGCGGAGCCATGCGCGAGAGCTGCGGCCTGTGCCTCAAGGCGGACCCTGACTTCGAGTGCGGCTGGTGCCAGGTCCAGGGCCAGTGCACCCTGCGGCAGCACTGCCCCATCCACGAGAGCCAGTGGCTGGAGCTAGCGGGCCCCAACAGCAAGTGTACGAACCCCCGAATCACAGAGGTAAGCCACTGTCCAGGGGTCCTGCCTGGGGCTGGGCCTGAGGCCATGCCTGGCCAAGGGCAGGTGAGAGCAGAGAGGGGCCCCACTGTCCAGTTGGAGTCTCCATGGAAGCTGTGTCAGAAAGAACTCAAAGTCCTCGCCACCTTCCCCTTGTCTCTAAGAGTCTCTCTTGGTGACTAAGCCATGACACTCCATCAGCAGCAGGCTCCCCAAGCAGTGGACCATGACAGAGGCTGTGTGGGTGGGGGTCAGGGGTTTGAGTCCTGGCTCTGTAGGCTCATTGCTGGGTAGCTCAAGGCTAATTCATCACTGTCTCTGTGCCTCAGCTGGCTCACCTGTGCCATGGGTCTGGTTGACCATCTATCTCATAGTGGAGTTATAAGGATGGAATTAGCGAATCTATGCCCAGCCTACAGGGATCTTCCCATCTTCCTCCTCCTGTTCATCATCATCATTAAAATCATTGCTGCCCATGGCTAAGCCCAGGGAGTCACTGCCCCTGGGGTTCATTTAGGTCGCCCTGTGTCTTCACCTCCCCACTCCACATTCCAGCCACCCCTCTGTGCCCCACCCAGAGCCCTTAACAAGAAACCACTTTGGCAGGGGTGACTAACAGCGTGTCTGGCAAAAATGGTGGGACTGGCTTTCTTCTTGGCCTGAGACCAAGAAAATTGCAGAGAGGAGATGGCAAATGTTCCTGAGATGGAGGCTATTCACTGGCTCCATCCTGGCACCAATCCTCCCAGAACCGAGGGAACCAAGGGCTGGGCCGGAGATCAAACTCCTTTCTCAGGATGACAAGCTGGGTCTGGAAGGCCATGCAGCTGCTGCCAGGTGCCAGCTGCACTTTGAGGACTGGCTGAGCAGGCATTTGGGAAGCAGAGGGACTCCCTCTTCCTGCCTTCCCTGTATCTGCCCACCTCCCTCACACAGAGATGGGTCTCCATCTCCAAAGAGCCTTTGTTTCCAATGCAAGGAGAACACACATGTGCAAACCCTCACACTCATGTGCACGCTCATTCACAGATATGCACACCTGCATGTGTAAGAAGCAGGAAGTATCTTGACTTTTATAGGTGAACAGCTCCCCCTGGCAAAGCTGCCACCCGGGGGCTCCCCAGCCTAGTTACCCTTTCCCTTTCCCACCTTTCACTGTCCCCCCAGATGGAGCCCCCACTGGGGGTCCTCAAAGGGGGAAAGAGCAGGACCTATTAAGAAGTGGCCTATCTGAGCTCTTTCTTTCCATTGTGATCCCCTTGACATTGGCCAGGATCCAGGCGCTGATGTTCAGAGGCCCCAGGAATGGGAAATGCGCCTTCCTCTGTCTATCAAATGCCAAGAAAGGCTGGCACAGATGTCTCTGCCACCAAGGCTTCTACTGCGGGAGGCCACAGCTAGACCGTGTGAACTGGATGGAGCCCCTCCCTCAAAGCAGGCCCTTGGTTGTTGGAACTTAACATTCCAATCATGGGTTTTAACACCAAAGGTGACATCTTTGGAGGGAAGCTAGACATTTTGGCCAGTGTAAGAGGCGAAAGTCTAATTAAATATCCCTTAGAAACCAAGTCAAATGGTGAAGGTAAAGGGGTTGTGACAAGTGCTCTGGTAACTCCAGGAAGACGCTTGGGAGTTGAAGTTTGCAGTACAATTACACCCAAGAAACGATGCTGCTACTGCAAAGTCCACAGGAGAAGGGAGACGCTGTCCCTGCTCTCAGAGGCTCCGGCTCTGAAGAGGAAGTAGGTGGGGAATGGAAAATGGGAATCAGGCACAAATGTTACCATGAAAGGAACACAAAGAAGGTGCCTTAAAATTTCATTTGGGGGGAAGGGAGGAGACAAGAGAAGGATTAGGAAAGAGAGAATATCTGGTTATGGAAAGTGACCTTAGAGAAGGGTCTTAGTTCCCATAGTGTGGAGGGCTTCGGGTTCGCAGGAGGGTTACTCATGTAGCTGGAGAGTGCAACCAACACAAGCAAATGCCCAAATGCTTTAATCCCCATTTTCAATGAATTACCCAGTATGTTTCGGATCACGTTCGGCTCCATCTTCCATGAAATAGGAAAATGAATAGGGTCTTTGATCACTGTTCCTGAAACCACACCCAAACCTGGACTGCTCTACCAGAGCTCCTGCCACTGGCACTGCCAGATCCGGATGCCCTGGGGCACTTGGACACAGCTCAGGAACCAGGCAGAGGTGGGAAGAGCCGTTCCTTGGCGCATCAGCAAGGGGTGATGGCTTCCTCTTGGTGCCTGCCACATCACCATGCTTCCCCACTCCAGATAATCCCTGTGACGGGCCCCCGGGAAGGGGGCACCAAGGTCACCATCCGAGGAGAGAACCTGGGCCTGGAATTCCGGGACATCGCCTCCCACGTCAAGGTGGCCGGCGTGGAGTGCAGCCCCTTGGTGGATGGCT